GCTGCTGCTGCTGCTACAGCTGCCTATAATGAGCAGCAGCACTAGCAGCAATGATACAACTGCTGCTTCATTATAGGAAATGTAAGAGAGGTGTCTTGCCAAAGAACACAACCGCAATTTAGCAGTTTACAGCCGCAGCTGCCCCACTGTGGCACCTGGTGTTCCCAGAGGTCTCCCATCACAGTACTAACCAGGTCCTGCCCTGCTTAGCTTCAGAGGTCTCCCATCACAACCTTTCAAAGATGATACACTGTAAACAGCATGTTGTGAACTAATACTATTGTGTTATTATTGTTGTGTTTCCTTCAATGGGACCGTTGTGTTCCTGAGTCGCTTTAACATTCTCTCTGCTCATTTGCATATGAGGAGGAGGTAGATTACAGCTCATTTGCATATCGCACCCTTGTGGATGTCTGTCTGCTCAGAGGTGCCCACTCGGCATCAAACCAAGATCTACTTTTACAGCAGAAACTGATCTACCTGTGGTGTATGTGGGAGTGAGGACTCAGAATGTGAAGTCTAGGTAATGACCATGTGTCTTTACTCACATTTTGTGACAGGAAAGAAATACTTAGTTCAAACATTTACTTATAAACACATACATCTCCTGAGTTTCTCCCACAGGGATCAATAAAGTATCTGTCTGGTAGGACCAGAACAACATAAATACAACAGATGGATACGAGAGACGATTGAAATCAGGAAGCGGGGATTTCACCTTGGCTAACACACAGGAAACACTTCTCCATAAACCACAATGCAGCCGGGGGCGTGGCCAGTCTGAGCGGGCGTGGTCAGTCTGAGGGGGCGTGGTCAGTCTGAGGGGGCGTGGTCAGTCTGAGCGGGCGTGGTCAGTCTGAGGGGGCGTGGTCAGTCTGAGGGGGCGTGGCCAGTCTGAGCGGGCGTGGTCAGTCTGAGGGGGTGTGGTCAGTCTGAGTAGGCGTGGTCAGTCTGAGGGGGCGTGGTCAGTCTGAGCGGGCGTGGTCAGTCTGAGGGGGCGTGGTCAGTCTGAGGGGGCGTGGCCAGTCTGAGCGGGCGTGGTCAGTCTGAGGGGGTGTGGTCAGTCTGAGTAGGCGTGGTCAGTCTGAGGAGGCGTGGTCAGTCTGAGGGGGCGTGGTCAGTCTGAGGGGGCGTGGCCAGTCTGAGGGATCTGTGAGATCTGTCAGTCTGACCACACCCGGCAACAGCAGCTGATCAGAGACACGTCATCATCATCGTGTCTACCGCCCAAACATGTTGTTATTCAGCAGTACTAGCTTCTTTACTTTATAGTGTTATTAAAAGAACCTTCTAAGTGTTTGCTTCAGTTCATGTTCAGACCATTATAAATGTCACATTTGAGTTGAGTCCTATATTCCTCATGTTTGTAAATACATACAGTATATACAGTATATATATATATATATATATATATATATAAACATGTGATATATACTGTAGATCACAGAATGGAATAATGCATTTGTGATCGGTGAATGCTCGGTTTGATGTTGTCTCCCACACAGGTCACAGCTGGTGTCTTGCTGGTGGGCACAGCAGCAGTGCCACAGCCCTCACCTGGTACTTGCTGGTGGGTCCTCACCTGGTACTTGTTGGTGGAGTTGAATGGGATCTCGGCCACCTTGTTGTTGCGCTCTCTCATCTGGTTGACGTTCCCGCAGCAGACCTCGATGCACTTGAGCAGAGCGGACTCTGAAGCGTCTCCGGCCGTGTCGCGCTGAAACAAACACATGCTTTAGTTTGGTTTCATTTAACAAAAGTATTTCTACTGCTGTGTTTGGAAATAAATCCTGACAAAAACTGTTTATCCACCTGAAATCACAACTGCTGAAGTGAGAGAGAACAGAGAGCGACCAGAGAGAGACCAAAGAGAGACCAGAGAGAGAGAGCAGAGAGAGAGCAGAGAGAGAGCAGAGAGAGAGAGCAGAGAGAGACCAGAGAAAGACCAGAGAGAGACCAGAGAGAGACCAGAGAAAGACCAGAGAGAGACCAGAGAGAGAGAGCAGAGAGAGACCAGAGAGAGACCAGAGAAAGACCAGAGAGAGACTAGAGAGAGAGCAGAGAGAGACCAGAGAAAGACCTGAGAGAGAGCAGAGAGAGACCAGAGAAAGACCAGAGAGAGACCAGAGAGAGACCAGAGAGACCAGAGAGAGACCAGAGAGAGAGCAGGGAGAGACCAGAGAAAGACCAGCGAGAGAGCAGGGAGAGAGCAGAGAGAGACCAGAGAGAGACCAGAGAGAGAGAGAGAGAGCAGAGAGAGAGCAGAGAGAGACCAGGGAGAGAGCAGAGAGAGACCAGGGAGAGAGCAGAGAGAGACCAGAGAGAGACCAGAGAGAGAGCAGAGAGAGACCAGAGAGAGAGACCAGAGAGAGACCAGAGAGAGACCAGAGAGAGACCAGAGAGAGACCAGAGAGAGACCAGAGAGAGATGCAGAGAGAGACCAGAGAGAGACCAGAGAGAGAGCAGAGAGAGACCAGAGAGAGACCAGAGAGAGACCAGAGAGAGACCAGAGAGAGAGCCAGAGAGAGACCAGAGAGAGACCAGAGAGAGACCAGAGAGAGACCAGAGAGAGAGCAGAGAGAGAGAGCAGAGAGAGACCAGGGAGAGAGCAGAGAGAGAGACCAGAGAGAGACCAGAGAGAGACCAGAGAGAGACCAGAGAGAGAGACCAGAGAGAGACCAGAGAGAGACCAGAGAGAGAGAGCAGAGAGAGACCAGGGAGAGAGCAGAGAGACCAGAGAGAGAGCAGAGAGAGAGAGCAGACAGGTTCCCGGGTGGACAGCCTCCTGTGTTGCCTACAGGAGCCTGTCTGTTGTTATTGATTAGAGAGAATCTGAGAGCACATTCTTCAGCTCCATTATGCTCCTCATTCATTATTCAGCAGCAGGTCTTCACACCGAGCCTCTGACTCCAACAACAACAGATGTAACACGCAACAAGGACAGTGTCGCTGCAGGAAACAGGAGACAATAAAGATATAGACGTACACTGAGGTCGATGACAACCTTTCTGAGCCGTGTTCAACCTCCGCCCAGCCCACACCCTGCTGAAACTCTGCAGCCAGATTTACCACTAGGACAAGGATTCTGAAATAAGATCTCCCAGGGCGGCCATTTTAACGGCTCTGTTCAAATCAAAGGACAATTCTCAAAAAAGCTAATTTGATTTTGTTCAGTTCTATTAAAAGAAAGTCATTAATAAAACTGTTTTTTCCAGCAAGAAGGTCCTGGGTTCAGTTCCCCCTCCAGGCCTTTCTGTGTGGAGTTTGCATGTTATCCCTGTGTCTGTGAAGGTTTCTTCCGGGTGCTCCAATTTCCCCACCACTAAAAACATGTACAATATGTCTGGCTATGACCAGGTCCTCCATCTCTGAGTATGTCTGAGGCCCTCCATCTCTGAGGTTTGTCTGAGGTCCTCTATCTTTGAGGTCCTCTCTGAGGTCCCCTTTGTCTGTGGTCCTCTCTGTGGTCCTCTCTGCAGTCCTCTCTGTGGTCCTCTCTGTGGTCCTCTCTGCAGTCCTCTCTGTGGTCCTCTCTGTGGTCCTCTCTGTGGTCCTCTCTGTGGTCCTCTCTGTGGTCCTCTCTGCAGTCCTCTCTGTGGTCCTCTCTGTGGTCCTCTCTGTGGTCCTCTCTGTGGTCCTCTCTGTGGTCCTCTCTGAGGTCCTCTCTGTGGTCCTCTCTGTGGTCCTCTCTCAGGTCCTCTCTGAGGTCCTCTCTGTGGTCCTCTCTGTGGTCCTCTGCAGTCCTCTCTGTGGTCCTCTCTGTGGTCCTCTCTGTGGTCCTCTCTGTGGTCCTCTCTGAGGTCCTCTCTGTGGTCCTCTCTGTGGTCCTCTCTGTGGTCCTCTCTGAGGTCCTCTCTGAGGCCCTCTTTGTCTGTGGTCCTCTCTGTGGTCCTCTCTGTGGTCCTCTCTGCAGTCCTCTCTTTGGTCCTCTCTGAGGTCCTCTCTGTGGTCCTCTCTGTGGTCCTCTCTGCAGTCCTCTCTGTGATCCTCTCTGAGGTCCTCTCTGAGGTCCTCTCTGTGGTCCTCTCTGTGGTCCTCTCTGTGGTCCTCTCTGTGGTCCTCTCTGAGGTCCTCTCTGTGGCCCACTCTGAGGCCCTCTCTGTGGTCCTCTCTGAGGCCCTCTCTGAGGTCCTCTCTGAGGTCCTCTCTGAGGCCCTCTCTGAGGTCCTCTCTGAGGCCCTCTCTGTGGTCCTCTCTGTGGTCCTCTCTGAGGTCCTCTCTGAGGTCCTCTCTGAGGTCCTCTCTGAGGTCCTCTCTGAGGCCCTCTTTGTCTGTGGTCCTCTCTGAGGCCCTCTCTGAGGTCCTCTCTGAGGCCCTCTTTGTCTGTGGTCCTCTCTGAGGCCCTCTTTGTCTGTGGTCCTCTCTGAGGCCCTCTTTGTCTGTGGTCCTCTCTGAGGCCCACTCTGAGGTCCTCTCTGTGGCCCTCTCTGAGGCCCACTCTGAGGTCCTCTCTGTGGCCCTCTCTGAGGCCCTCTTTGTCTGTGGTCCTCTCTGAGGCCCTCTCTGAGGTCCTCTCTGAGGCCCTCTTTGTCTGTGGTCCTCTCTGAGGTCCTCTCTGAGGCCCTCTTTGTCTGTGGTCCTCTCTGTGGTCCTCTCTGAGGTCCTCTCTGAGGCCCTCTCTGAGGTCCTCTTTGTCTGTGGTCCTCTCTGAGGCCCTCTCTGAGGTCCTCTCTGAGGCCCTCTTTGTCTGTGGTCCTCTCTGAGGCCCTCTTTGTCTGTGGTCCTCTCTGAGGTCCTCTCTGTGGCCCTCTCTGTGGCCCTCTCTGAGGTCCTCTCTGAGGTCCTCTCTGTGGTCCTCTCTGAGGCCCTCTCTGTGGTCCTCTCTGTGGTCCTCTCTGAGGCCCTCTCTGTGGTCCTCTCTGTGGTCCTCTCTGAGGCCCTCTCTGAGGTCCTCTCTGAGGCCCTCTCTGTGGTCCTCTCTGTGGTCCTCTCTGTGGTCCTCTCTGTGGTCCTCTCTGAGGCCCTCTCTGAGGCCCTCTCTGAGGTCCTCTCTGAGGCCCTCTCTGTGGCCCTCTCTGTGGCCCTCTCTGAGGCCCTCTCTGAGGTCCTCTCTGTGGTCCTCTCTGTCGTCCTCTCTGTGGTCCTCTCTGTGATCCTCTCTGAGGTCCTCTCTGTGGTCCTCTCTGAGGTCCTCTCTGTGGTCCTCTCTGAGGCCCTCTCTGAGGCCCTCTCTGAGGTCCTCTCTGAGGTCCTCTCTGTGATCCTCTCTGAGGTCCTCTCTGTGGTCCTCTCTGAGGTCCTCTCTGAGGCTCTCTCTAAGGCCCTCTCTGAGGCCCTCTCTGAGGTCCTCTCTGTGGCCCTCTCTGTGGTCCTCTCTGAGGTCCTCTCTGTGGCCCTCTCTGTGGCCCTCTCTGAGGCCCTCTCTGAGGTCCTCTCTGTGGTCCTCTCTGTCGTCCTCTCTGTGGTCCTCTCTGTGATCCTCTCTGAGGTCCTCTCTGTGGTCCTCTCTGAGGTCCTCTCTGTGGTCCTCTCTGAGGCCCTCTCTGAGGCCCTCTCTGAGGTCCTCTCTGAGGTCCTCTCTGTGATCCTCTCTGAGGTCCTCTCTGTGGTCCTCTCTGAGGTCCTCTCTGAGGCTCTCTCTGAGGCCCTCTCTGAGGCCCTCTCTGAGGTCCTCTCTGTGGCCCTCTCTGAGGTCCTCTCTGTGGTCCTCTCTGAGGTCCTCTCTGAGGCTCTCTCTGAGGCCCTCTCTGAGGCCCTCTCTGTGGTCCTCTCTGAGGTCCTCTCTGTGATCCTCTCTGAGGTCCTCTCTGTGATTCTCTCTGTGGTCCTCTCTGAGGTCCTCTCTGAGGCCCTCTCTGAGGTCCTCTCTGAGGCCCTCTTTGTCTGTGGTCCTCTCTGTGGTCCTCTCTGAGGTCCTCTCTGAGGTCCTCTCTGTGGTCCTCTCTGACAGTTGTATATCTAATATAGAGCTGTATTAGCAGGGGAGCGAGGGACTGCAGGGGGTTGTAAATTGGACCTGTCCTTTTAAGGTTAATCATGTTATTGCAGAGGTGCAGCAGAACTATATTAAAACACCTGCGGATTCCAATAAATAAACTTCTCTATCTCCGTCTTCAGCTCGTACAGTAATATCACTGAATATTTGAAGCCTTTTTACTGCAGTATTTCATGCACTGGAGCGGAATACATAAAAGTATATACTGTCTGTGTTTGTGACAGTACAGGTCCGACTGTATATGTTTCAGAACTAAGCTAAAGATAGAAGTTTCTGAAGTATAGAGTTGTGCTCCTCACTCTACTGGTCTGTAATTTAAGATAAAGAGATTTTAGGTTGTGCCACAGATGGAAATGTCAGTGTTGCATTACCAGTTACAGAACACAGCATAAGCTAAATGAACAATATCTATATACTAAAATTAAATCTCTAGCTTTAGCATAATACAGAAGCTAGTATGAATCCTGCAGATTCTGGTGCAGAAACACACAGTTGTATGTTTACATCTGTGTGTTAGCATCATGAGGCTCTCTGTCACACTGACAGTGACACACATGTGGTTCTATATCGCACACTTGTGATGCAACACTGAAATCTCCCCACTGTGAGACGATTCCAGAATCTTAAAGCTGATCTTGCCACATGCCAATCATGGAGCCGATACCAATGATGGAGATCATTCTGACAGTGTTTCCAGGTCAACATTTCTCCAGTATCAGTTTAATCCTTGTCTCTGGTTCAGGACGTCTCATCAGACTCTTACACCATTGTACACTTCCACT